TTATCATAAGTTCCATAACATTTTTACAAAAAAAAATTATATTGATATTAATTAATTAATTTATGTATTTGAAGAAATATAATATTTTATTAAATTACTGTTTATAGAAAAAATTTACAAAATAATTATAGTGTTTTTGATATAATATTTAAGTATGTATTTTTTTTTTTTTTTTTTGTAAGTTTTTTGAAGTTAGGATTATACGTTGTTAGAGCGTGCTTAACAATTCTATTAAATGATTATCTGATCAATGACCAATAAAATTCCTGACGTGTCCATGTGTATTTATGATATTTATGGTATTATTATGAAGACAAAATTAAGATAAAATTTAATCTGACATTATTATACGTTATTATATTGTTTTGCATTCTATACATTTTATTTCTTTTGATATCTTATCTTATTTAGGATAATCATATATAATATTATATTAGCATGGTCTTTTTTCAACTCGTCCATATTTATTAATATATTGGGCGGCTCGCGAGTTTCTTTTCGCTCGCTACCCCTAATATATAACCAATATATCCATTGTTGTATATTTTAATACTTACACGTTTTCATATTATTTTTACTTTAATCTATTTGAATATACTTACATAAAATTTTATTGTTTCACATGCATTTTTATTCACTTATAATTAATAATACTTTCAAAAGAAATTAAAATTGTTTAGTCTTATTTTGTGTGATTGTATTTGAGAGTTAGAACTTATTCTACTTTTAAATTTTAATATTTTTTTTAAATTTGGTAAAAAAAATATCAAGTGCGTAACCTTAATTGTTTTTTTTTTTATTGTTCTTTATTCACTTTACCCACAAAGTCATTAGTTATATTTAGTTAAATATTTTAAAATATAGGAAATATTTGTCTGACTAGTTTGGTATATTTTTTTTTTTTTATTTATTAAATAAATGAATCGTTTTAATAGATTAGATTTTATTGTGCTGTATTTAAGTATTTTTTTTTTTTTTAGATATTAAAGAAGTTTATTCAATATAAAAGTTAAAAAATAATGTAAGATATAATTCTTTAACAAATATGTAAATTCTTAATTTTTATTGGTGAACGCGAAAATATTAAATAATATAATATTATGTTATTATATATTTAATCGTTTATCTAGATTGGTTAATTCATATTTCATTTTACTTTAATAACTGGCAAATGTTAAAACTACTATTAAATATTGAATATTCAACATACTAAAAAAATGAATTGTGCTAATCATCATTTAACGGTGACTGTTGAAAATCTGTTTTCAATCCTTCTGAGTAATATTATGCAAATAATATTGTTGATTGACAAAAAAAAAATAAAAAATATAAAGTTTATAATTTAATTGTACGTAATTTAGTGTATAAAAACTCACTTTATATTTTATAATTTCCTTTATGCACATGAAATGTTTTTATCGCCTAATTTCATATTTTTATTTTTTTTTTTTTAACTAACTTTTTTTGTTGTAAAATGGTTAATTTCTAAATAACCATTAAATAGTTAAGACTTGTGAGTACAAAGCAACATCGGATCGTTTTTTCACTATCATTTTATTATTTTGTTACAATCAATGATTGCTATCTGTTGACACGCTTTCAATACATCCATATCAGTTTATTTATGTACTAATGATAAACAGGTAAAATAAAAAGTTTAAATCTAAAGTTAATAATACTTAGTCACGAAACTATGAGATATCTATGAGTTATAAATTAAAATATTTGCATGGTTTTTATTTAATATAATCATGAAATTTCTACCACTGATTTTTACTGGAATATTTTTGCATCAACTTTGTTAATAAACTTCGTGATTTTATCTTTGGTGGTAATATTATTATGTTTAGATTATAAGATATCTACTGTAATACGAATTTAATTATAATCAACAGCAATAACAACTACCTGACCAATTCGTTTTAATCATTTGTTATTTATGAGTTATGACACAACATATTATAATTACTATATTTATTCGAATAACTTGGTTTTTTGTATTTATTTATGTTTGATGAATTGGTATTTTTTTTAATTTTTGTTTATGACAACATGGTAGGACGTTGGTATGGTTAAGTTTATTTATTAAATTTTAACCAGAAATATAATGTTTTTATTCTCTGAACATAATCAATTTAAAAACATATAAAACAATAACGTGATAGGGACAAATAATAATCGTATGTGTACAAGGGTTTTATTGTTAATCTTTTGACCGATCGCCTTGCACCATTTTCCTGTCCTCTGCAAGATTTTTAACCGCTTGTAAAAATTCGAAATTTTTATTTCTATTATTATTTAAAAAGTAATGTATTGTGAGAAATAAAATAAAAACCCTATGAGTTTTTATTTATTTATATATTATATATAAAAGGGTCAAGTAATGGTGGCGATAGTTAATGAATAAAATACAATAGTGTCCAGTCGTTTATTTTTTATCTAAAATGCGGTTATAAAACCATATGTCCAACACCATAAGAGCATTAAGTAAAAATAATATACTTTGTTATAACTATGTTATAATATTTTTTTCATCTTTCGTTTTTTAGAATATAATTTGTTGATTTTAAACAAAAAATCTTATTACATTTGAAAATGTATGTGTTTAGTATAAATGTGCTATACACATTTGTTGGTTATCATCTTTTTTCTCAAACATTAAGATAGACAATTGTTAAATAATTTTCATTCAATGTTTTTTATTGTAAAAATATAAAAGAGACTTTATAAATAAACTACTAATTATGAAATCATAAACGAATCTACACTTATTATTATTTATTAATATTATTTTTTAAATAAGCCAAGTGTATCTACTAAAAAAAAAACCCAAACTATCAAAATGTTTGAATTACATCATTAACATACATGGTTTGACTGTATTTAGGTATTGTTTGGGTAGGTACCTACATATGTTATACATATATATAGCCAGAGCTAATACAGCATGTAAAAGTAAACAGTATAAAAATATATGAATATGTTAAATTTTAAATCATCGAAATTATATTTGCTTAGGAAATCTGACTATAATTTTATTTTCACTTATAATGAAATGGTGAATCTGAATAATTACTATAGCGAATTTCAATCCAGACAAGTTTGTCTTAATATTTTTGAAATGTCAATGTTAAATAGTAATCAAATTTCAAAGGGAATTCTGATTTTTTTTCATATTTTAAACATCACATCACTACCAATATTGATACTTACATTGTAAATAGGTAATATGTTTACCAGTATGTGAAACAGAAAATCGCCGTAAGCCCAGAAATATTCAGATCATGATGAAATCTATGTAAATGAAAGGAAACTAATAAAAATTATTAAGACTTAAGGAGAATGGATAATTTTGAAATTATTATATTTATTAAAGTTGTTAAAAGAAGTGGTTTATAATAATTTTAATAAGATACGGAATGTATATAGTGCACAAATTTAAATTATTTATGTAATGCAAATAGCTTAGTATAATATTAATTTATAGTTACTTAGACATTAGACACCAAGATAAATAAAATATAAACTTTTAAAAGTATAAAATTCTGGACGTTTTATTATATTTATACAAATGTAAACATATTGTGTATATATTTATACTTTGCATATTTTCTTAAGTATATAATATATTGTATAATGTATAGTACTTATACTAATCTACTGAATATTAAACTAAACCTTGAAAAAATAAAGATTTATATATTTTTACGAATAAATAACTCTTACTATACTTCTAGATCTTTAAATATACATAATGGTTAATCCGATATTGTTATAAAATTCAAAAATTACGGACTTAAATTCAAACTATAAGTATTTTTAAACTTAAATTGTCAAACCATAATAGCAGTACATCAAACATATTTATGCTGTTGAACTTTTTCGTAAAAAATAGTTAGAAAATAAAAATACACCATAAATCATTATAAGTCTCGTGATTGAAATCTCTAGACATTTTTATTTTAATAGATACTTAACAAAATTATTATCTTATATTTATAATCAAAACTACTCGTATGAATAATAAAATTAATTATTGAATTTCTCCTAGCAAATATTTAAATCCTATCTATACAGGTGCTATGTAAAATGTTTATTTTTTCTAATTCAAATTTAAAAACATTAAATAATAAAAAACAGGTTTTTATAATATTTAAAACTTAAAACATTTTATTCAAATTCTTAAGAGGATACGTAGTCTCTGCAATCTTACTAATGTATACAATATTAATAGCTACATTGACAATTTGCGTTCAATAAAACTAATTTTGTGTGGTTTTATTTTATTATTTGATTTTATAAAATTGAATTTGCCTATTATTTAAACCTTTAAGGAAGTAAGAGCATCTGTATTTGAAAATTAGTTTTTAAAGATATTTTAATTTATTGGCTAGTTAAGAGTAATATTGTACTGTAATATTTTACATATACTTATAAATCGTTAAAAATTGAAATATCGTAAAAACTCAACATACATTGATAGTAATTTTACATTTAATTTTAATAAAAGGTGAATAATCCACTTCATTATTAAATATTGATACTTAGCTTACGGTTTGGCTTGACTGCTAAACGCAAAATTACTATGTTGTACGTTTGTAAGACAAATATAACACGTGCGGGTGTGGCATTCTTTAAATAGGCATAAATACCAAAATAAATCGTTTTATTATGCAAATTAAATTTTAAATTAAGTAAAATACACGAACTATTGAATAAATTGTTTTTCTAACGTATTCATTAATTAATATGATTTTTAATTATTTATTTCTTACTTATTTACTATAGTAGGTACCTACTTTCATTAGTATCCATTAATATAGTAATATGAAATAACAAAAACTGAGTAAAATATTTACTCATTTATTTGTGGTAGGAAAAACAATTGAATTGGTTTATTAGTGTTTTAATAGGATACAGTATTATTAAACTTATGTAATGCCTACATTAGTTATTCATAATATTTTAAAATTAATAAAATTTTATATTTTTTCATGCAGGTATGATACAAGACAGACATCTACAAAAGTACCAAATCCACCGAGATGGTGGTCTTCACCTATGGGTTTTGGTGATCGTGCATACTTTCATACAATCGACAGTGAACCAAGACAACGTGACCAAGATATAGTTGATCATCTGACAGTGGATAGAGCTATGGCTACCGATACTGGAATATATAGATGCAGAATTGACTTCTTAAAAGCTCCCACCAAGAACAGACTAATTAACTTAACAGTCATAAGTAATTTAAAAAGAATAATTCAATAATACATCAATATATATTTTTATTAAATTTAATTAATAATTTAACTGTGACTATCTTTTAATGTTTTGAGATAAAAAATAAAGAATATTCCAATAACAATGTAAGTTTTTACATGAATTTGAAGAAAAGTACAATTTTAATGTAATTTCTAAAATTCACTTACATTGGGCTGTCCGGAAAAAATATAACAAATAATACAGTGTGTTTATGCGTGTATAGGTACATGTAAAAATTGCTAGTCACGCAGTATTATAATATACTATATTGTTTATTGTTATGCTTTTAGTTTTGGTTTTATTTTTTTTTTAATTTAGTAACATAATTTATAACATAAATTATAGGTACTAAAAAAAGGTTACAGATTTATTAAAAAATTATTTCTAGTTTTATGAAATTAAATAAACTTTAAAATTACGTTATTAAATATTATCTCTATTTAATTCTAAAAATTATAAACGATTATTTAAAGATTTATTATTACCTAAATTATTATATAATAGCCACAGAAAGGTATAAGATATTATATTTATTCTCATTTTTATTTTTTGATTATTGTTTAATAATTTTTTTCTTAAAAACTACCAAAGAAGCTCCAAAACACCTTTTAAAGTACAATCTGTGATCAATTTTTAACCGATAGAGTTAAAAATGAAACTTTTAGAATATTTCTTTTCCATAAACTGTTTGTATGCAAAAAAAAAAGCATCACGGTAAGACTTACCAGCATAATTTTTTATCCTAACTTAGAATTTAATAAGAAAAGTATTAAGTAAAATTATACAAATATCAATATTTTTTTTTCTAAGTATAAATAATTTATTATAATATTTTCTAAATTAAAAAATTTGTTTAGATATGAAAAAGTAATAATCTGTTTTATGCAAACTTATTTCTAATTAAAATAATTACTTTTAGGGTCTCAACACTCTTCATGTTATATCGTTTGTTGTTAAAGTTTTAAGGAAACATCTGTCATTGGCATATTTGAGTTTGGTGAGAGGAGGATGGAAGTCTCGGCCAGATACTTTACAAGCTTACAAGTCATTAAACGCGCTAATTACTGAATTTTTAAATATAAATCATTCATAAATCATAGTTTTAAACAAAATATGAAAGTTAGTGCTTCAAACAATACCTATAGATAATAACATCAAGTTTGTACTTGACAAAATGTTTATTATTATACTAGGTATCAGGTTTGTTCACTAATAAATTATAATTAATCAAAATCAAACAGGTATTGACAGGCTTTGGTTGATTACATATGAGTAGGAGAAGCTCATTTGTTAATACTTTAGTCCAACGAATTTCCATTAAATGATTATGTTATTCATGCCTATTATTACTAATGGTGGATAAGCTCAAGGTAGATTATATCTAAATATTTGAAAGTAATCTCTAATCTTGGTAAATTTATTTTACAAGAGTTATTTATAAAACAAGTTATAAAATAATATCAGTTTTACTATTAGAATTTAGTTTCACTTAATATGTATAGAAGGACCTCTTACCTTTTTTTCCAACAAAAATGTTTATTGAGTACCACATTTCAACTAAAAGTGTTATTAAATTATTTTGCTTGTATTTATTTTAAATTCCAAGTATGTACAATGAGAAACTTTAACTAATTATTTTAATTATGAGTATTTTTTGTTAAACCTACAAAGCTCTTAAAATTTAGTAATTAATGTGTACTTATTAAAATAGTTTATAAAATTATATTAATGTATGGTTTTCCTTAAAAACAATCAGTTCTTAATTAAATCTTTTTACATATTTGACTATGCATTATGTATTATAGTTGCTCCCGAACGACCAACCATTTATTTTGAATATGGCAATTCTATTGGAGGAGATCGTCCAGAAAATTACCGGCAGAATTCCGGAAACGTGATTGTTGTCGATGAGGCGAGTCCAACTGTTACATTGGTGTGCCGCGTTGTTGGAGGTAAATAGTTTTATTTTATCAATATTTATTTAAATTAAACTTAGTTTTTATAAAAAACTATCAATTATTGACTTTTTTTTCGTGACTTCAATGGTCTCCACTGAAAAAGTTCTTGGACTATAATTATGTTAAATTAATACGCATAAGTAGAATAGGGTTTCCCAAATTCTAGATGCGATAGTTGGTTATAGTTATATTTAAATTAGAAAAAAATAAATATTAATGTGTAAACATTTTGTTATCATATTTAAAACGTTCAATCTAGATAATTTTATATTGATTATTCATTCATAATAATGAACCGATATTGATATTAAACATGCATATTAAAAATATACATTATTAAAGATACATGTGCCTCCAAACACTTAATATGAAAATATTTTAAGTGTGACAATTACTACTACTGAGCATCGATCGAACTTAGTTTTAATGTTATAAACACTATATATTTCATCCTTGTCGCAATCACGTGCCCAACTGACAACGTCGTGACACTTTTCGACAAGTCCGGAAAAAAATGGTAGCACTTCATCTACAGGTGCCTCGATTTCGTTATGAGCGAACGTCCATATAACTACTATAACGTCACGCGGGTACAATTTTCTAACGCACTTTCCTCGACCACGCGCGTTTTTCGGCTACCGTCGAGACTGATCATTTTAGTTCCATTGATCCCGTTGCAAACGTCATCACACACCTTTCTCCGGGTTTCACTAAATGACACTGCACCATCAAAGGTTACCTGTGTTCTGTACGTTTTTTCGTATTCGTACAGCAATGCGGTTACTAGATAATTTATTACGGGTTTGCTCTTTTGTGCACAGTATATTAGAATCCTTATTGACATTACAGAGTTTTCATTACAGTATTTGTTGTATCCTTGTTAAAGTTATTACAAATTCAGAACAAAATTAAGAACCAGATGAATAGATTTAATTTATTTTACGTCTGTAACTGAGGTGATGTTGAGTGTTGACTACGGAAGTAACGTCGCACAGGTTAATTTTGTGGCTGTTGGATATTTATAAATGCGTATACAATATACATCATACATGTATATACAATAAATTATAAATGAAGGGGGGTAACAAGATTGGATTAAGGCAAGGTCCAATTAATTTATGTTGTATTATGTGTATATGTATAGCATTGATTATTTATAAGTAGGATACAATAATCAATCATTTCAATAGTTAAAATAATCGACATTTACTTTACAATAATTCAATGAATTATTATTGATAAAATGTTTGAGGTAAGAATAAAATAAATAAATGTGTATGATGCAAATATTAAAACTAATAATTATCCTTTACAGAATATATAATATGCATATTAATGCATATTAGTAATATAAGAAAATGCTATACTGCTTCAATTATAAATTGTATTATTGTACGTGAATAAATAAAATTGAATAGACATTGTGTTTAAGTTTTGAACTCACTATCACTACACATATAGTATGAATTTAATTTCAATATTTTCTTTTAAATATGGCTTCAACTTTGATATAGTAGAATTTTAATACATATCCTACTTCACTAACATTTGTATTTGAAATCACGAACAATGGCTCTATTTTTAGTATTTTAAGTACTAAATACATAATATGCTTATAAATTTAAATAATTTTATATCCTGATATACATGTTACGTATAATCATTATACCTATGTAGAGTTTGTAAGCTGAAATTTTTTCGTTTAATAAAAAGTTATTTAACTTTTCGTATGTCGTACCTATTCATTATTCATGATGACATGTTTAAAATTATTTTTTTATTAAATCTTTTGGAACAAAAGTAAATACGTTGATATTTATATTTATGTGGCTACACACACAATAAATATGACGACTTACTCGATCGGCTTGTTTTAAAATATCGCATATAAAAAAATGAAATGTTTTGGGCAAGTTTTATATACATTGAAGTATACTTAATTATAATAACCGTCAAGGACCTAACTAATATTCATAGTTATAATTGCTAAATTTAGATCAAATTACTGGACCTTGTATATTTGTTAAATTTTAATTTTAAAAATTAAAATGGCTTTCGATTCAATAGGTAGTAATAGCTTAGTATAGCTAAGTAATATGGGCTAGGTTGGATTGGGGATTGATGGGCTGAACATTGTTTACAAACAATATCACAAAAATATAATTTACAAAATAATGTAATTTAATTATTTAATATTAACGTTAGTTTTAACATGGATCGGATAAAGTAGCATGAAAAGTTACTATATCAAACGTAAAATTTAATACGATGTTTTGTACTTATTTTTTGGAATTCTAGATAATAATATACAATTAATTTTGTAAACATTTGTAGTTTGTACTAATTTGGTTTGATTTAATTAACAAACTTCATAGTCACTGACTGCAAACTCGTTGAAACTCTATATAATTATGAGATAAAAGCACACTATGGCTGTTTACTAATGTCCATGGCATATTTGTATACTAATATACAACAAGCAATTCGATAAAGAATTTATAATATAAAATTCTGTGTGCTTAATAGAAGAGATGATTATTTTACATTTTGTAATATTAATAACGGACAGTCTTCGTTCACGTTTTACTCGCTAGTCGCTACAATACACAATATTATATAAATATTACACGCATGTGTCGGCTGCGGTTATACCTACCAACTTTATTATATAATACTCGATATTGCCAATAACAACAATGTTTGACTATGCGTAGTATTCATGATACATTTTATTGTTTTGTCTGATGTGGTCATGTAGAGGAGGGGAGGGGAGAAGAAGTTTTGTTTATAAAATTTGCTTTTTTTTAATATGCGTTATTTTCTGTTTGAAATATATTATGTGAAGAGATTTGTACAAGATTTTTACTTAAAAATGTTGTCTACTTGTGTAATTTATGATCACGGAAAACAGTTAGAAATCAATTATTACACTGTGCCAACGGCATTTCGTGAAAAATCATCACGCTTTGTAAAATAAATACATGTGTGATTTTTTTCAGTATAAATAATTCACACTAACGTTCATTTAATTTTCGTACATTGTAAGGCATATAATATGAATCTTTTGTAAAACACTCTTTAGAAAATAACAGGATGTAAATACTAATGTTTCAAGACTATGAATTGGTATTAAAGTGCATTTTGTTTTTAGATTATTATCAAACGTAGAAAGTTTGCATTCAGTTTTGAAACTTTTATCTTACATTTTTTATAACACAATATAGAATAAAAATTATGTAGAGTATTTTAGTCCGTGGCTATTAATAATTTATTGGTCATTGTCTAATTCTATAATTTATGCTATATTGCGCCACAATAATACTTTCTATATTATAAATTATTATAGTTTTATTTTATATTATTGGATTAGTATTACTATTTATAGCTTAATCCGTCGAAAGATTTTACATTTGTATAAAAACCATCACAGTAATTTTTTCTCAATTTTCTATCGATGACTATAATAATATGTTCTATTTACATTCTTTCATGGTATTAATTTTCTAATTGTTAACTGTTGTTCATACTTTTTTTTGGTGCTCTCGGATCGCAAAGTTATAGGTATCAATAATAAGGATCTATATTATAATATTATTAGAATTTAGAAGTACTTGATATACCAACATTCCTCAAGGCCCACCTCACCTATGAGAACTATGAGAACTAGTGGCTAATAGCTATTTCGATAATTATATTGGGAATTTATTCTTAATTATTAATTAATACAAGGTGGGACACTGAAACGGCCGATTTTAAAAATAGATTTTCTCAGTCGTAATTAAGATAAGAATTCTCACTAACTAAATATTATTAGTTCAAAGATATCATGCCATTTAATAAACATGGAACAGTGGAGTGGTGAACGACGTGCTTATACGATAAATCGATAAAATCATTTTACACAAATAATGACAGCTACGTAGTCGCACTGCGTCCAAGGTTAGGTCGAACCTTTCGTCTTCATTTTAATCTTAAACGCTATGATTCGGTACCATCAACTAAGGTTATTAAAATATAAATAAACAACTTTGAAGAAACGGGTTCAGCATTAAAAAAGAAGCATGCAGGAAAAAATCTATTCGCACATCTGAAAATATCGCTGCTGTCAGGGCCGCTCTTCATAAAGAGCTTAAGATATTCTGCACGAAAACATGAGTTTACATCGGATTTTACATAGCGACCTAAATTTTTACCCATATAAGGTTCAGGTGGTTTAAGAATTAAAACTTGCAGATCTTTATAGCCGCACAACTTTTTGTCGAAAAATGCTATCCCGGATAGACGAGAATGAAAACTTTATTCTTAATGTTTGGATGTCTGATGAAACACATTTCCATCTTGATGGTTTTGTGAATAAAAAAATTGTCGTTATTGGTCTAAAAAAAATCCTCGCCAACTTCATCAACGACCATTGCATAGCGATCGAGTAACTGTATAGCGTGCAATTTCACACTATGGCGTCATTGGCCCGTATTTTCAAGAGAACGAAAACGGACGGGCAATAACTGTTTATTCAAATCGTTAGTGAATATGTTCAATTATTTTTTGGTCGGTGAACTAACAAAGTTTCCTCAAAACGATAATTTTTGGTTTTAACAAGATGGTGCAACATCTCACACGGCTCGAGTGTTAATAAATGCTATTTAACAAATTTTTGGAAATCTCTTCATTTTCAAAAAATAGTGATATTCATTGGCCACTCCGATCACCTGATTTATCAATATATGATTTTTTGGTGGGGGTATTTAAAAAGTAAAGTCTATGCACAAAAACTTCAAAATATTGATGAACTAAAAAACAAAATCAAAGAAGAAATCGCCAGTACACATTTGGAAGTAATACATTGTGTAGTGGAAAATAAACGAAGAAGGCTAGAAGAGTATTAGAAAAAAGATGATCATCATTTTGAGGACATAATTTTTAAAAAATAAATGGCAAGTTACATATTTCATTGTAATAAATAATAATTAATTTTTATTCAGTTTTTTTATTTT